ACTGAGGACACAACCATCTTGTTGTATTCTTATCTCAGGAGCAGTACAGATATTACACATTACTGCTTGCTGCTCTGAATATTTTCTGAGGTAGCGGATTATTTTATCTGCTGAGAAAGCTCTTAAAGTTGACAAAGTATATGAGTCACAATTAAAACCAGTAGCTTTCTCTCATTCTAATTATACACTTAGGTGATACATATCTGCTGAGACAGATTCACAGCTGAAGAAAAGTGGAAAAATATTCCAAAATTAACATTTGGGTATTTCAGAATGAATGAAAAACTGGAAGAGTTGTACTGCATGACATTATAGGCAATTATCTCCTGTCCTTAATAAAAAGGCAAAGAGTTGGAGCTTTGTAGCATTTTGCCTGTATGTATATATATCTTGAACCACTAGATTTTCATATTTATCATGATTTAAACAGAGATAACAGGAACACATTTCAGTTTACACGTGCATATAATAATACATATATTGTAGTTCAACGGGAATTAATCACTTTCACCAATTTACTTTTGAACTTTAGAATGAATTATTTTCAGCATGTAACAAATGTGGTAGCTTAACTTATCTAAATTACAAATGTTGCAACACTGTAGAAAACAGGATAAAACAGGCTTTTGAGAAAATTTTCCTATTTAAGTTGGCCATTTGGAAATTAAAGTGACTGTAGAATTTGATGCTTTTAGAGAACTACAATATTCATAATTTGTAGTCACAGTTTCAAACTGTATTAAGACTGTCCTAAGAGCTTTCATACTTAGCAAACAACACTCAGACAAGCATCAAGTTCAGTGACAGATGTATAGCATATATACTTTGATACAGCTTCCATAAAAAGTCCAAAATACATACAAGTGAAGGAAAACAAGTATATTAGGCTTTAAAACCAGCTGCTTTTTGATGCAAATACTTGGCATTAACATCACTTACAATATATTTTGCTCGCTGAGAAGTGAGGAATGTTCTTAATTTAAAAAGAATACTCTAATTTTAAGTTGCTTAAAATCGAACACTTCTGGATGTCCTCACTGAACGTAATTAAGTCTAAACCTTTGGCTTTAACCTCAGGTTGATGCTCTGTCCCTGATATAGCATTCCTCTCTAGTCAACTGAAATAGAAGTTGACTCAGCTAATCAGAACCGATATTAATCTTGATGAAGGGTCTCTCTCCAGTTGGAATCAATATGGAAAAGGAGCCGTTATATTTCGACTATGGAACCAACAAGCACCTTGGTCTATGCTGGGATTTGTAAAACACTTTAGTTACACTGTACAATGATATCCTAATGAAATTCTAGAAGAGGCCTACAACAAACCATGTAAAGCCTAGGTTTTATTTTGACAGGGTGAATCCATCTGCTTTTTAGCAAGCAGTGTCAAAAATAATTCATGTAAGAAAATTAAATACAATAGCTACCTTTACAACTCAAAGATACTTCGCTAAAGTACTTATTTAAATATAAAACATACATATTTGAATCAAAACTGCCAGCTAATGAAGAGTTATTATGGCCAGTCTCATGAATAAATTGGCCACCTCAGAAGAATGAAAGGACATCTTAGGAGATGCTATACTGCTTAGCTCTGCACTTCCAAATACGTTTGCTAACTCTGAAATACATCAAACACAACACCTACATATCATGGCAGCAGAAAGCCTACATCTGTAAAGGTGGTCATGGTATTCTTATTTCCAGATGAATTATCTGTGTTACCATGAATAGATCATATCAAATACAGCTTATCAACAAAAGGGGACAGTTCACAGGAAATAAAAAAAACCATCCCACATTACACATTTACATTAACAGACGTAAAGCATTTTAAAAGTACCAGTTTCATTACTCAAACACGCTTTTCATTTATAATGTCTAGGAAAAAAATAGCCTTTTACAACAAAATTACAAAAAGTGAAAAAGTGAAAGTTTATATATTTAAAAATATATCTTAGTCCAGCCATGAACACATGGCTCTTCAAAGCTCTTTGTGTCTAGCAGATTCCATGATCGAAGGAGGACAGCATTCTCAGAGGTGTGTGAGGCAGGTAGCATTACAGTCATCTGTTTTTTTTAATTTTTTTTTTCAAATTAGGAGATGGACAAATCAATATATCAAACTAATTTACAATGTGGCAACACCTGGGAACTCCTTGCGAGTTTATAAATTGCTTTTCTTCACCTTTTCAAGCCCTGCTGCCTTCCTCATTCCCAAAAGCTCCAATGCTTCTGCTCTTGATGCAAACAGTAACAAAGTGCAAGTGACAGAAGCAATTTGTTTTACTTCTGTTATTCACAGATCTATAGTAGAATTATAAGTGTTTAACAAAATGACATTTCAGTTGCAAACTGTAAAGTGGCTAGGAAAGTCAAATCCAGCAGATGTCTACAACGGAATAATTTGCATTGGAAAAGGCATCCAGAAAGATCAAAGAACAGAAAGCCTAAAGAACTTACCTAATTCATAGCTGTTGACAGTAAGAATTCACTTTCTTACTAGTTCATCAGCATATAAAGTGTAATTGGTATCCATTCATCCGCTTAACCCTTTTTCTGTCCATTCTTTCTGAACGGTGTGTTCGCATGCAGTTAGATTTTCTTTTTTTTAAAATACATCTTATAGAGGTCATTCAAATGAAAGTGACTTAGGAAGCTTAACAGACCGCTTCTTTTAAAACTTGCTAAATATTATTTTAGAAGACAAACATATCACAGGTCCAGAAAACATCAACAGCCACAAGACTAATACATGGGAAATATATATCACACTGAAGAAGAAAAGACATATTCGAAAGGCAGCCAAATGATTCTAAATTTGAAGATGACCTTGACATTCCCACTAACCCATTTTTCCAGCAGGAAGACAAGATAATTTTGTAAGTGACATTAGCCACACTTGTGAAATATACCTTTCAGTTCCACATATCAGTTTGTTTACGACATCTGGCAAGTAAAAGTCATATTTCATCAGTAAAGGATACCCCCTATACAAAAAAGACTACTTGGCAGGCTCTTCAATTTCAATAAACACACCAAGCATAAGAAATCAGATGGACCTGGAATGCTGCACACTCAGAACTACTGACAGGCATAATGGAAGTTCACAAATGACCAGCATTTTTGTATTCTTCTTATTCTTTCTTCCCATTTATGATAACACATGGTAATCACTCAAACACACTGCAAGATTAAAAAAAAAGTAAAACAATATCACACGTATCTCAATAAACCTGAATTTAGATTCCCACCTATCAGAAGATCCAATATAGCTTTTGATTCAATTTTACTGTTTGCTAACTTGTGAAGAAAATATACAGCTCTTGTGAAATATCATTTTGGAATTATTTAATGACAATTGGAACAGCAGATGGCTATGAAAAAATAACATTTTTAAATTAACTGATCAGAAAAAGCATCTCAAATCTCAGGTATATTGCATGAGTGAGCAGTTCCTTATTCACAGTTGCACTATAAAGCAAAATGGAAGGATGTAAGTTGCACGCATCAGGTACCCTCTACAAAAGTAATTTCCTTATTTCACCACCTTTTTTCGCTAATGCAAGTTTCTTGCTACTCTTCTTTTGTTCAGACACTGAACACCTTCTTAAAACAGCGTGGTAAGGCAGCCTTCGCAATCCCTCCTCGGCGCTTAAAATTACTTAAAATTGCTAAATGAAACCAGGCCAAATTCCCGGCTGTGTCCCCAGCTGTCCAGGCCGTTTCACCTGCGCTGCCGCAGCAGCCCCCGGGCCCCGAGCCCGCTCCTTGCAGGGCTGTGCGAAGGACGGCGCCGCCGGATCCCCGCGAAGGCCCCGTGTCCCCTCGCCCAGCCGGCGGCCAGTGCGGGGCGGACGGCAGCCTCAGCGACGGACGGCCAGGCCAGGCACCGCCGCTCCCGGTGCGCGCAGGGCGGCGGTGGCACCGCCGGCGCCGCGGCCCCGCCGGGACAACGGCCCCCGGGCAGCGGCACCTCCGGGACAACACCCGCCCTGGGGCAGCGGCACCGCCGGGCAGCGGCGCTCCCCGCGCTGCCCGGAGCGCAGGGCCGCCGAGCGGGGCAGGGCCGCCGAGCAGGACAGGGCCCCACGGCCGCGCCACGGCTGCCGCCGGGTCTGGAGCGCGCCCGGCGGGCGGCAGGGGGCGCCCCACCGCTCTCCCCCGCCCCCCACACCGCGCGGACCCCGCGGGGGGGTTGGGAGGCTCCTCCGCCCCCCCGCTCCGAGCCGCCCTCGCCCGCCCTCAGCGCCCGCCGCCCCCGGCCGGGGCCTCACCCGCTGCTGTCGCTGCAGACAACGCCCGCGGCTCCCTGCGGGATCTGGCGGCGAAGAGCTGAGGGACGGCGGGGCTCGGCGCGGCCGCGGCACGGGCCCCACTCCGGCCGCTCCCGCCGCATGGAGGGGGAAGGGCCGGCCGGAGCGATGGGAGAGGAGGGGGCGTGGAGGAGCAGAGCCAGGGCGGAACGCGATGGAAGGGGGAAGGGGGGGAAGTGCGGGCGCGGGGCTCAGCGCCGGCGGGAGCGCGGGGGCCGCTGCCGCCGCCTCATCCCCGGCCGCGCCGCACCGGGCCCGCGCCGCCGCCCGGCCGCCGTCGCCCGGCAACGCGCGCGCCCTCGCTGTCGCAGGCGCGCGGCTCCGCGTGCAGGCTGCGCGTGCGCCGCCCTCAGGAGCGCGCGAGGCCAGGCTTCCCTCTCCCTCACGGCGCCAGGGGGCGCTGCTGGCACGGACAGGGCACGGGGCGGGGCCGGGCGGAGACGGGAACGGGAACGGGAGAGTGCCGGGCTGGGAGAGGGAACGGGAGGATGCAGGGCTGGGAGAGGGAACGGGAGAGTGCCGGGCTGGGAGAGGGAACGGGAGGATGCAGGGCTGGGAGAGGGAACGGGAGAGTGCCGGGCTGGGAGAGGAACGGGAGGATGCAGGGCTGGGAGAGGGAACGGGAGAGTGCCGGGCTGGGAGAGGGAACGGGAGGATGCAGGTATAGGGAAGGGGACGGAGAGAGGGACAGCGACAGCTCGTGCTCCCGCCGGGCACCACCGGCTGATGGCTGGAGGTTGTCGTGTGATGGGAGCCAGCCGCGAGGGGGATGTGGGCTCGGGTTTCGGAAGAGAATGGGAAAAGGGAGACATCTCCCTTGGCGTTGTCCCCTACTGACATCTAACCCCCTGGCTGAAACAAGATGAGGCAGCTTACAGAGGATGGCAGGTGTTCTATAAAAACACTGTCCTTTTCCAATTTTGCAGGTCATGGGAATGGGGATGGAGGATGAAATAAAGGATATGACTAAACGCAGATATATTTAGGCCTAGTTTTGGGATAAGCCAAGGTTAACATATGCAGTTACTTAGACCTTTAGTTCCGTAAGATCTAAATGAGTGCTTCAGCATTTGCATGAAACACTGACATTTGAAGAGTAGATGTTCTGCAGATCTCAGGGCTAGCATGTAGTTGCCTCCTATCAGTTTCAGTGTTGCTGGTGACTACTTTCAGCTTCCCAAAGCGTCCTGAAACCAGTATCAGCTTTCCTTTAAAATATGAACTGGACCAGTACAATTGGGATAGCCCACTTGCAGGAAAAAAATCTGGCAACTGTGAGGAGTACATTTTGAAAGCTCAAAAACCCAGTGATATACAGAAAGAATTTATTTCCTTTTAAAAAACTCAGGAATTTAAAGCAAATTTCACAACTTGAGATGCACCATTTTGACTCATCCATTCTCTGATGTTTAGGTTTGACAACACTGCTACACATTCTGCTCATGGTGGTGACTTGTACCTAACCCAGAAGTATATTAGCCAAAGTTCAGTTCTGTTGTATGTTTTACTGGGGAATCTTCTCCATTGGTCTTTAATCTCTAATACTTCTTTAAATGCTATTTGTTTCATAAAACATGTAGCACAATTTTTTAAAATTTGGTTAGAATATTAATAGTTCAAGTAGAAGGGACCTACATTGCCATCCAGACTTGTAGAATTGATTGCTGTAGCTAGGGTGATTACCTAGGCGGAAAAAAAAATCATTCTTGCAGTTAGAATTGTTCTGCACTAGATTTGTTATCACAATGATGAAGTGTGTGGACTGATGTAAGACTGTTAAATGGAAGCAGCTAGCTTTTTTATGTACAAAAATGCAATCCTGTGCTCAATGAAGTAGGGTAGTATTTTAGCAATAATTTCGTTCGGCATAATACCGCAACTTGTTTTGAAATTTATCCGCTTGTTACCTGTTGGTTTAGAAAAGATCAAATAGAAACAAGGTTGAATTTTTCAGGATCATGGGAAATATTTTTTCAATATTTTTTCATTCTTGTGCTTAAGTCTGAAGCTTTCTTTGAAAAATCTAATCTGTGTGCTGAGAAAAACTGATCCTTATTTGGATCCCACATACCAAAGTTTATAAATAGCAGCGGAATAGACAATACACATCAGTGCGGTGGTTTTGGATCATGTAAAGAACTGTCAGACCCACTTGTATACAAGGAAAATTGAAACACAGACATTAAAACACTTGACCGAAGCCATGAGGCACAAGTTGAATGCTACCAATTTGTATGTGCTTGAACTGCAAGTATCAAACTTTGTGACCACTTTGAAATATGGAGATGTAATATTTTTCTGTCCTTTTTTTAAACATGGATAGAAAAAAAATTGTTAATGCTTGTGGGTAGGTTTACTTCCTAACAACTTCCAGCTAAGGTATAACACCATGGAGTGGTTTTCTTTATGTCATTCAAAGCAGAGTAAAGTAACGAATTTGCATTTTCATTTTCTGTCCTCAACATTTTAGTTTAGCCTGTAAAACCAGAAATTAAAAAATAGGATAAACAGGATAAACAGTGCAAAAGTAGGCTGCCCTCCTGTTCGAGGGCATTTTCCTTCTCTCCCTCTCATGTCCTCACCCTACCAGCTCTCATTCCCTCACTGTCTTAGCATCAAGATTCACTGACTGATTATAGCTGACTTGTCTTCTACCCCCTCAAACTAATTAGTTCATCTATTTAAGTCATGCATCGAAGAAGCCTGCCCCCTCTGAGCACACAGCTCACTTAGGGCTCAATCTGACAGTCTTCAATTTTTAAGGCAACAAGAGTTTGCAATTGACTCAAATTATATGAGGATAAGGCTTTTTAAGTTCTGATTTCTTTACAAAAACTGTGGCATGATGAAGAGGGTGCTGATGCCTATCACCATTTTCCTTCATCTTCCTTTAACTGAAAAACACAACAACATAGGCCAAAGTCCTTAAATAATGGAGAAAAGAACTCCTCGTTATTTCATACTCTAGTTTGCTGGCTTTCTGGGCACAGGTATTCATACATGAGGGGGACCACTTGCCCTTAGTCTGCAACTGTAGAAGCAATTGGCTCAGGACATTCAGCTCTGTGACTGGAAGTCCTAGCTCAAGCAGAGCTACCACTTGCCATGTAAATATGTCCATACTGTCTTGTATTCAGCCATCTTTTGTGTTCCCCAAAAATCTTATCATTTTCATTGCTCTCCTTTGCATTCTGTCCATTTTAATTTTAATTTTTCACTTCCTTCTCAGATGAGACACCAGCAAGTTTGATCAGTGCTGAGTGAAGTTAAATACTTCCAGTGCCTTCCATATAACATTTCTGTAATATATTTCAGAAAAATTACCCTGTTCTCATCAGCCTCATGCTACTGACTGATGAGTGGTCTGTTGTATTTGCTAAGACTATGGTACTGCTGCTTATACATTTGTAGCACACAAGTTTATGTTAACATTCATTCTAATGTGCTGATGCTTCAGCCTAGCATGACCATTAGAGCTGGGAAACCCCAGATTAAATGCTTGGACATACAGGTCATGATTGTGAATTTACACCATGGATCTCTTAGGACAGATCCTGGAAGAGACCTTTCAAAGCGTAGAGATACAACTGTTACCTTCATAATTTAAAACACAGTGCTTAGTACGTTACAGAAGGCAAAGAGGAATAATTACCTGGCTAAGGAAAGACTGAAGGTCTATTCAGCAAGCTCTATAAAGTGCTCTGTTATTCTTGGCTAGAATGTCTGTAGAAAGACAAATAGTCACTTTCCTCAATCTAACAGTTTTATTTGCATTGGGTTTGTTTAGGGGTTTTTTTCCATTTTGTTTTGATTTGGTTTGGGGTTGTTTTTTTTTTTAATAATTACAAGTACTATGTACAGCTGCAGAAAAAGAAAGAAAAACCTAAAGAACAAAATCTGTACTTTCTGAACTCCAAACAGTTGCATCACTGAGAGTGTCCAATACAAAACAGCATGATAGTAATTATGACTGCAGCTTACCTTTGCGTCCAAGTTTTTAATCAAAATCATGAACCCATTCAACAGTCTTTTAGTGCCTATTTTAATGAAAAGCTAAACATTGCACAGATCTCAGAAGGAAGCCGCCTCCTCTTTTTGCACTCCTAACAACCTTTAACATAATGAGGTTTGACAAATCGATTTAAAATGTAGTTGCAGGAAGAAGGGCAGGCAAGCTCTGCTCTGCCTTGTGGGTGTTGTAGTCTCTCTGCAGGCTCTTTGCCTCGGCAGCAATAGGAAGCTGGACTCTAATTCCCATATCTCCCACTAGAGTCTCCTGCACAGGCTCAGAGCCCATATGCGAGGAGGGGGTGACCACATTGTGTCTATTGTATGTTTTTAATTCTTTTTTTTTTTTTTTTTTTTTTTAAATTTTCCCTTGGCATTTTTTACGTTTCACAAGAGATTTAAATCGGGAGTGAAAAGCATGGCAGATGAGCAAGAAATAATGTGCAAACTCGAGAGCATTAAGGAGATCAGGTATGTTTGCTTTGTGCTTCATCATTTACATGAAGCAGCTTTTTCCTCGGGGGAGCGGAGGACATGCATGAATCTGAAACTAGCTATTGTGCTACTGAGGGAAAGAAAACTACCGCTGGGTTTAAGATGAGAGCTCAAAATACATTTTTCTAAGCAGGGAAGGAGCATCTGCTGCTGGTAATTAACGCTGGAAGGCGTAGTGAAGGACGGTAACGGTCGTGCATTTCCAGAGAAATTTTCCCGAGTGATAAGGAGGCGGAGTGATGGGAAGGACGGAGCAACCCTAACGCAGCTGGGGGGTCGCGGGTGTTGTGGTGATTTGTTTGTTTGTTTTTAAGTTCTTTGACTTATTATTTAATATTCCTGAGGCTCTGTCTTGAATCTCTTATTTTGCCCGGACGCCCGGGCAGGAGCCTTGACGGGCTGCGAAGGGTAGGGCATGGCACGGAAAGCAGAGTCTGACATGGAAAGCCGAGGGCGGACGTGCCTTTGGGCAGGGCCGGGCCGGGCAGCACTGCGGCCACCGGCGGAGCCCCCCGAGCGGGGCAGCCGCTCATCCCCGCCGGCGGGCGATGCCAGGGCCGGCTCTGCCCGCCGGGCATCCGTGCGAGGGATCCGTGCGGGAGACGAGAGGGAGCAGCTGGACCTTGGCGGCTTCTCTCTGCCCTGCCTTGCGCTCCCGCTCGCCCGAGGCCATGGAGGCGGCCGGGAGATCTCCCTACCTGCTGCTTTTGGCCGCCGCCCCGGGCGCTGGGGATGGGGCCGCAGCGGACCGAGGCCTTTCTGCCCTTCCCTCCTGCCACTGGGCCGGAGTTGCCTCGCTCTGCGGTTCGTGCAAGGCGATACACCAGGAATTTTTATATAGCGTCGTTCCCGGGGGAGTCACAGGATGCTGTGGAAGAGGGGGCTCCTAAACAGCCAGGCATGGTACCACACGTTCCCGCATCGGGGACACTTTTCAAAGCTTTAGGTAAGGCATTGCCACTCTTCGGCTAAGGGCACGGATTTTGAGGATTAGGCCTGAGTTGCCGATATTTAGTAGAAATTCATGCATCCAAAAGCCAAAACACACTACAGGGGACAGTGATTTTGAAAGCAGCTGGGGGGTGGAAGGCATGCCGACTGTGGGTAACCTCGGGGCGATTAGAAGTGTTTTAGGACATTACCACTGGAGAGGGGCTATCAGGGAGAGAGGAGAGAGGGCTGGGGATGAAGGTGTTACCACTGGCAGTATGTGCAGGTGGTCACAGAGACTTCTGGCTGGTAACAGCATCTCTAAGAAGCACACTTTACGCATGGAAAAAGTGAATTAAAGTGTAGGCCTCGGCCTTCTTTACACAATACCACAAAGGTGAACAAAGATCAGGCAAAAATATTTGTCTAGAATCCCCAAACTATTTGTAGAAAGACAACAAATACTTTACAGTCTAAGAAGAATGCTTTTCTACTCAACTGTTAGGCAGGCTCTGTTTTAAAATACTGATCTACGTATGGCCTGCTACAGTTCGTGGTCCAATTATTGTAACACTTCATTTAAATTATTTTTTTCAGAGTGGTATCCTGTATTTGGAAATTCACAGTGCACTCAGTTTTCTGATAGTATATTCAAAGGTGATATGTAAACTGCAGTTAACAGATTTCTGTTATTACTTTGTGGCATAAGGTAGTGTAAAGGTGATGTTACTAGCTTAAGTGTACAAGGAAGTATCAAGAAAGTTGCTTGAATGGATGTTAAATAAAAAAAAATCAACATCAGAAGGTCAAGCCTACTTGCAATATTGATGTCTATTTTGAGTCACCTTTTACAAAATCTGATCCAAGTAACCTATTTATTCATCCCCAAATCTTTTAAAAGGAGCTTGCGTTCTGCAAAGAATTTTCTTCAGAATAAACATGAGAATTTCTTATGTTTACCAACTCACCTTTGATAGATTTAGCAGACTTTATTTTGTTCTGCTTTCCATGTATTCTACATACAGAGGAAAAAAAGTCTTTACAATCAAAATCAAAGAAGTCGTCCATTCCTAGGCACATTGATCTCTGCCTCTTATTAAAGGCAGCTTAGCTGGGTTTTTGAAGGGATTCAGGAATCTGATTTTGGATCTGAGATCTGATTTTGAAGACCTATATCTATATCTGTATCTGTAGATAAATACATATAATTTGTAGTCAAGGGAATACTGTTTTCAGTAAATGTGTTTCATGCCCACAATCCAAACATATATGCACATGCTTATTTTTATGCATTAAATACTTCCACGGAAATAACCCCAGTCATAAAATTAAACAAATGCCTAAAGACTCAGTGTTCTGGCTGGGAGGAGCTAAAAGAGAATGAGAATGAATATATCGATGGGAGATGCTAGTTTCACTGTTTACTGCCCTGTTGGGACACACTTAGTGACTACTGTCATTAATGCAGTATAAGAACTTAAATAGAAGGGAAAAAATATGAGGGCAAAATTCATTAGGCAGTCTAGAGATCACACTTATGATTCCTGTTTTTAAAATTACTGCATGTTGCCTGATGCTAACAGGAAGAGTTGTAATTTGTGTGCACTTTTTCTTTCCTAATGTCAAAAGCTAATCATTTGGACTGAAACAAGCCCCTGCAACTCATTTGTTGTAGCAATCTGGCAGAGCATGGCACCAGTGACTAGTAACAGTGAGGAAATAGATCTATTTCCATTGTCTTTAGGTGAACACATGTAATAAATACAGGAGAGGAAACAGGAAATAAATTGAGGACAAATACTCCCAGTTTCAGTAATCAAAGCTGCCGTTACTAAATAAGTGTTTTAAATAAATGAGAACAATGAGATTTGATGAAAAGAGGAGTAGATGTTAGGTTAGTGGGATACTGCCACATGTAAAGTGGAGGGTAGAGAAGATCTCTTTTTACTGGTTTAAGTTCAATATTTACATTCAGACTCGTATATGTCATTGTGTAGTAAATGACACAGCAACTCCAATGACATTAAATAATACAATGTTGTAGCAACATACTTGAATTCTATCTGCAGTTCATTTTACATTTCTCCGAATCCTGTGCTAAACCTAGATTTTCTGCATTTCTCTATTTTGGAACTAGGGTCAACTGATGCAGTAGAATTCTATTGGTACAAACTCTCTGAATCTACAGTAGCTGTTAAAATCTGACAACGTTCTATTAATTTCGTAATTCAGTACAAGAATTCTCATAGCATTGAAAAGCTCAGCAAAAGAGCTGGGATTAGAATTCAGTACTCTTGTACCTCACCTTTCTCAGACATATTTAGTTTCACCCTTGTCTGTTGCTGCTATTGCCTTCTTCCATCTATCTGATCACATATAAAGTGACACCTCACAAAAATATGTTTCAGTGACTTACTGTTGTCTCTCTATTTTTAATTACCACTGGGATTCAGGAATAAGACTTTGCAGATGGAAAAGATAAAGGCACGACTGAAAGCAGAATTTGAAGCCCTGGAGTCTGAGGAGAGGCACCTGAAGGAATATAAACAGGAAATGGACCTGCTGCTGCAAGAGAAGATGGCCCATGTGGAGGAGCTGCGACTGATCCACGCTGATATTAATGTGGTATGCAACAGTCCAGCTGCAGACAGTCTGACTAAGACACAGTGGCATATGAATCATTCCACAGGCTGTGGAATTGTGCACATCAGTGAACTATCACTGGTTCAATAATCTGGACTTTACAACATCATCCTAGGATCCTACAGAGTGCAAAGTAAATTTACTGCAGGGTAATTGTTTTTTTCCTGTATTGGGCAGGATATTTTGTAATGTTGGCATAGTAAGCACTTGCACCAAGAGGAAAGATAACCAAGCCTATTGTGGCTATGACTTTACCAGTGTCCACAATAACATCAGTCCAGCAGTCCCGCAGAAAACTGTTCTTCCTGTTAGGCTTTTCTCATTGAGCACCCAGAAACAGAGAAACTTTAGCAGCTAGGTGGGACTTTTGACTGGAGGTTTTGGGAAGAAAGATTTTGAGAAAATGCATGGTATTTGTTAAGTTCATAGTAAGAACTGACCTTCATCACTGAGTGGAACCATCAAACAACAAGAAGCACCAGCCTGAAGGGAATTAATACAAAGAAGAGAAAAACAATTTATAAACAGGGAAGATGAGCCAATTAGAGGGGCTAAATAGGGAATATCTTTTTGAATGTGCATTTTTTATGTCATGTTAGGTCACTTGCATGGTTGCTTAGTGCTTTCTAGCTCTGAAGATATCTCTGCTTTGCACCAGAGCAAAACAGCTCCCACATTGTAAACAAGTACAAGCTATATACTGGATGTGCAGACTTCATTTCTTTATCTCTTGAAATGTCCATTCCTCTATCCAGCTGCATAATCTCAACCTCTGTTTCATCCTCCCTTCTTTTTCCAGTCAGATTGTCTTTTTCTCTGCTGCTTTTCCCATTTACTGCAGTAAGAGAAACAGGAACCTTTCCTTGTTTGTTTGTTAACTTCTGACAGTTGGTGTTCAGATATCTTAGAAACACAGAAAATTAGTTTTGTTCTACCTTAATTTCTTTTTTAATGTCTGCTGAGAGTTTTCTGTCAGTCCTCACTTGCCGACTTTATCTGTAGCCTGTCTACCTGCTACTTCTTTGTTCAGAAGGTCATATAGGTTGAGTGCATCTTTTTTAAATGAAAATGCATCTCGTATGTCACTTTCTGTTGCTTCTTCCTTGCCCAATTTTCGTCCTCTCAAACCTTAACTGTTTGCTCTACTATTGCATTGTCTCCAATCTCTTCCAGCTTGCGTTAAAAAGAATCTCTTCTTTCTGATAGTCTCTTGCTCAATTAGAGAGGGACAGTTCTTTACAAGCATGCCCATCCTCCTGTTTCAGATGGAGAATACTATCAAGCAGTCTGAGAATGATCTTAACAAGCTCTTGGAATCTACTCGTCGCCTGCATGAGGAATACAAGCCCCTAAAGGAGCACGTAGATGCTTTGAGAATGACTCTGGGATTGCAGAGGCTGCCAGATCTATGTGAGGAGGAGGAGAAACTGTCCCTTGAGTAAGTCTCCAAAGTAAACATTATCTGGCTTTATGCTTTCTCTCAATTCTACTGGTCATTTTCTCATTTTACTTTTGTTGGTAGGTGGAAAAAAGAACTCAAGAGGTAAGCACGAAAAACAAAAAAGTTAACAAAAAAGGAATGTGTGAAGACATGTATTTGATAACATTCAATCTGAACTTGTTGCAAGGTAAATTTAGATTATTTCAAGCTGCAAAGTCTACATATGACATGAACAAATTCAGGGGTGGTTGGCTGTCTAGATTTTTATACTACATGTTGCATTTTCTAGCAACTTTTTTTTTTCCCCTGAAAATTACTTGTTTAGCAAGCAATAGTAGGAGGCAATACAAGAGAAGGATAAAAACCAAGTATTCTTCAGTTAGTTTGTGCTGCTGCTAGTCAGAATTTTACTTTTTGCTGCCTGCTCAGGGCAGTGGCATTTAACCCTAACCCTAAGACTGTCAACAAGTAAGTTTATCCAAGCTGTGGAAAAGTATGAACTAGGTGGGGGAGAGTGACAGAATTAGCTACTGTTCAAAGAACAATGTCCTTTGTTTAACAGATCAGTTTTAAATGCAAGGGATGTTTTAAGAAGCTTATATTTCTCTTAATGCCCAGCATAATTAAAATAATTTTCACAGGCACACAGTTTTCAAGATTTCCTTTGTATTTCTTTAGAAATGTTGTTTTACATTCCAAACACCTTGACACTACAAAGAATCTATTTATTTACTGCCTACAAAAGTTATTCATTTTAACAGAATTAAACAGAAAAACTCTTTGACAGATTTGCATCTGAAGCTGTTAAATATATGTGTTGTCTATTTTTGATTGGATTAGATTTATATCCAGTTGTACGTCAAGATACCTTCGAAGCTGACAATCTGAAATCTGGCTGAAGTGTACAAATGCAGAGAGAAATACTACCGACTGTTTATGAACTTGTCTTAAGTGTAGGCAATTTGACTCCGGAGGAACATCATAGGGAAATGTGATCCATTGTATTTTAACACAAAATATCCTTTACAGACTAATGAAATACCCCAGAAGGTGGTTACATTTTTGATTTGTTATTCTTCCGTCTAGCTACTTTGAAAAGCAGAAGGCAGAATGGCAGACAGAGCCACAGGAGCCTCCCATCCCAGAGTCTCTGGCTGCAGCTGCAGCAGCTGCCCAACAGCTGCAAGTGGCTAGAAAACAAGATACCAGACAGACAGCAACTTTCAGACAACAGCCACCTCCAATGAAGGTCAGGAGACAAATGTGCTGGGTTTTCTGTTTTGCCATTGGAACACATTATGTTTATGAAGTTGATTGGTATTTGCAAAAAGGAAAAATTATGTGTTCTGATTCTGATTTCCCCTGCAGTGGTTCAAATCAAGAACAACCATTAGACTTAAAGTAGTAGCATCAGTCATCCAGGGTTAAGGACAAGAATCTTTTATGACTTAGGAGTCTCCATCAGCAGAGATATTAGGCAATTCCCACTCCTCTTGTGTTTCACGTGGGAGAAAGTCATGTAAGAAAGAAAAAGAAGCTTGGCAAGAGGAAAACAAGTAGCTGTTAGTTAATGCCATACAGAGTCATATTAGAAGTAATGCACATATTTTATGAGGGAAATTACTGATGGTATATATTACCAGAAAAGATGATTGTTTCTGCACTTGGGATCTTCAAGACTAACACTGAGATTAACTTAAACTAACCACAGGCACTTAAGTGACAGTTTTACTCTGCTCCTCCTGTAGTAAGAAAAGCTAAGTAATTCCATAGAGGTACTCATCCTGCCAAGGTTTCAAAGAGTCACTGACTAAGTAGGCAAAGTGATGTAGATATGTTCCATAGTTATATACTTACTATCTGTAGTTAGGCAATTGAAAAGCTTTTCTGCAAGTAGTATGCTTCAGTCAAATGGAAATTAAAGGGCTTGGTATGGAGCAAAAAGGCAGAGTTCTGTACCTTGTGTTAAATAGGTGGAATTCATCTTATCACTTGCTCCTGCCTGAAATTCTATGACATCACAATTAACCTTCACTGTAACTTCTCTGTCTCAATGAGCTATTATGCATGTAAACACCTCATTGGAACATTTAACACAAAATAGAATTTACTGATAGATGTATGAACCACATGTCTGTGGAATTGTAGTTTTAATTCAATTAAATACTCCAATTTTTCATTTGGCCTGAAATTACTGTACAATCCAGATACCTAGATTGTATAGAATGTAGCAGTGGTTTGCCTTTGAAGGCAAGAAGACTTATTTTTGCCTGTACTGTAACTTAGAATATTGTACTCAATAACTCATGTAACAACGCCGCTTAAACGTTTGTAACAAGAGCCTGCAATGTTGCATTTCAGGCATGTTTATCGTGCCACCAACAAATTCATCGGAATGCGCCCATATGTCCACTCTGCAAAGCAAAGAGTCGATCCCGGAATCCCAAAAAGCCCAAGAGGAAACAGGACGAATGAAATGGAGAAGATTGCCAAGCTGTGTGACCTGTTCCAGTAATCTTCCAGTAGAACTGCAAACGTGCCCAGACTTTACTGAAGTGCAGATTCAAGTGTGACCGTCTTATTGTCTTCTATTTAATGCAATATAAGCACAATGTTCCTGTTCTGTCTTAAGTTCCTTCCGGTCCTTAGGGTTTGGTTTTAGGAAAGAAAGTATTACTGGTGCTACAGTTTAACATTTCAGTTGTTCCATCTTTTGGACTCCTAAACAAACTGAAATTCTTTGTGCAAGTCAGGCTATTTCTGTTGGCCAAATGTGATGACCACAAATGCTTTTATGTTCTCTCTTTAAAAACCAGATGTTACTAAAATTTTTTTAGTAAAACAAACAATTTGTTTTCCAGGTTGGTAAGACTGCATAGGTTTGTGTAGCCAGTAGAACTCTTTTATACAGGAAACGTTTAGGGAAAACAAGATAGGTTATACAGAAAATCAGTGCATTAAGGACACACATGAATTTTGATTTACTGAAGTTTGATTGTAACATTCCCTGAAACTTGACTTGAAACTCGGAAAGTTGATGGCTGTGTATGAATTTTGAAAAATTATGTGATTTGTTGTGCTTCAGCATATTAATAGGTTATTATTTTCAACAGTCAAAAGACCGACTGACTTAAGAACAAGGCTCAAGTGAACTGTATTAGAGGTCCTCCTAGGCTCTATGGCCAACCTGCACATTGTGGTTCTCTAGGGAACATGCATGAAATATCCCAGATCTCTGTGTGCACAGACTGCAGCATCAGCCATTCTGCTGTCTTCCTGGCTTCTACAGCCAAAATCTCCCCTGGCAGACTTATCCTCCACAGGAGCATAGGAAAGTTCAGTAACATGCACGAGGAACAGTGTCAACTAAAAATTATGTATTTCACCAGAACCACTGGGCTTTGGTGTCGTCGTCCTCCCTTAACCAACACTTTCTATTTTTGTGTCTTTTAATAGTCATTTGCAAGTAAGCTTTACTTCAAGCCAGTGTTTTTCCTACTCTCTGTGTGCCAAAAGAACCCTGACTAAGGCATCCAGAGTAGACCCCTCCCTGGATCCATGTCTTCACTTTGTTTCACCCAATGTAACAACAGTTCCTCCAGGGGAACTGGGGAGGGTGACAGTGACCCACTTACAGAAACAGGGCTTAAAATTTACTCATTTCCAATCCCAGTTTTGTCACTGCCTTCGTTGTCTAAATCTTGAGTATTAAATATTCTTTTCACTAACTTCAGGAAGCAGGAACTGCTTGTTCACATTCTTCTGTCTTTAGCTCAAGTTCTTCTCTACTATTATGCTAGAGTGGTTATATTGAAAATTTGGCTTGTTAAACAGGAAGAACAGGGCACTGGCAACTGTAATAAATCCACATAATGCATTTTTGCTGGCCAAATCACATATGCCATCATTAATTTCCCAAGTCTGCCACAAAGTACATGAGTGATTTATTGAATATAGTCCTGTAACTTATGCCAAGTTCATGAGGTATTCTCTCATTTTAATGTTTCATAGCCATATGAACATCTCTCAACAGCAGAGACAGAATGGGGACCGTGTGCCCCTGAAATTATGTGAAGAGCAGATTCTGCTAGCTGAATTACTGGGATTTGGTCTCTCTGCGATAGCAATAATGGAAGATAGTCTGACTCCATGCTCCAAATGGCAGTAATGCATTATGCATATCTTGTAGCACAGTTAGTGGATTCTGCTGTTGAGTGTCAGTGGTCACATGCTGTGTGCCCTGTTCAGAGCAGTTCCTAGCAAGTTGAAGGGAAAACGTACACTAAGATAAAAGTACGTGGACTCCCCCAAAGTACATGCATGAGAGCAGCATACTTTGATGGTAGTTGTACATAAATTTAAGAAGTAGTGACAATGGAGCAGGCAAATGGTCTGCAATGAAGTAGTGTGAATAGAAGGATTGATTTGTAGTAATTTCAACTTAGAGTTCTGAAATAGATAGGGTTAGTCATGGTTGCTCTCACTTCACTGTTAATTTACCAGGTTCTTTCTTTCTTGGGGGTCTCTAAACTGAAGTATGCTTAAGGATGCACCACTTAACTGATTTAGTACAACAGTTTTGTATTTTTACTTTTTTAAACTAGTCTCTTGTGCTCTTGTGTTTAAGAAGGTTAGGGTTTTTTTTTTAAAAAAAAAGTACTGTGTTTGCATCAATCATGTACTAGTATTTACAGATTTGTTTGCACATCCTTTACAAAGTTCTGCCATATGAATAGCATGCATTGCTGAAAACGAGCATAACTGAAGATGAGTCAGCAGTGCCCTGGCAGCCAGAAGGGCCAGCTGTGTCCTGGGGTGCATCAGGCCAGCATCGCCAGCTGGTCGAGAGAGCTGATTGTCTCACTCTACGCTGCACTGGTGAGGCCTTGAGTGCTGTGTGCAGTTTTGGATGCCTCAGTGCAAGAACATCAGACTATTACAGTGTTCCAGAGGAGGAGGGTGACCAAGATTGCAAAAGGTCTCAAGGACAAGACCTCTGAGGAGCGGCTCAAGTCACTTGGCTGGTTCAGTTTTAAGCAGAGAAGGCTGGGGGGTGTCCTCATCACAGCCTACAGGTTCCTCAAGGGGGAAGCAGAGGAGGAGGTGCTGATCTCCACCTTCTGATGACCAGCCACAGGACATGAGGAAATAGAGTGAAGCTGCATTAGGGGAAGTTCAGATTGGACATTAGGAAAAGGCTCTTCTTTGGGAGAGTGGTTAGTCCCTGGTACAGCGAGCCAGGGAAGTGGTCGAGGCACCAAGCCTGTCAGAGTTCAAGGAGCACGTGGATGACACTCTTAATCATAGAGTTTAATGCCAGGTAGTCCTGCAAGGAGGGGGGGATTGGACTTGATGATCCTTATGGGTCCCTTCAAATGTGAGATGACCCTAACTATTTCAAGGAGACAGAATATGTATTATGTATTAAGGGATCATGGGGGTGGGAGCAGGGAGGGAGGTAGTGTCTTTCATAAGGCAGGAGTATTCTTTTCTCTCACAGAATAATGACATAAGTTTAAGTGAAGAGCTCTTCTTGTGACAGCCCTGAGCTCTTTTCTCCCAGGCAAATTTCTCCAGAGACTAGAGGAATAATTATGAAATATTGATGTCTTCTTTTTTAGACAGAGGAGGAAGCTGTCTGAAGTACAGTTCTCACCACAAGTCTACTGCATTTTTGCTCCATGGATTTTTTTGCTCTTCTTTTGTAGCTAAGGTCTTTGTGGATACTTCTTTGCTTGGCTTAAATTTATTCTAACTTGGGTTCAATTCTCTTAATAGTCACAATGAGACCTTCCACAAAGCTTGCAAGACTTTTATATTTACTAAAATCTGGTTTAACCCTGTCTTTGTCATTCCTTTTTAAAATAGGTATTAAAGTGACAACAAAATAACTGGATCCTCTTGGTACAGATGGTTTTCCAGGATCTCCTCCTGATTCCTCACTTGCCTCAAATGATAGTCCTGTTGTTCTGCAACCAGACACCACAAACCCCCCCCAAACAAAACAACAAAATAAAACCCCAAAAAACCCCAAGGCTTTCACCCTGCCACCACTTAGAGCTCATGGTAATAGGATGTGAATACTGTACTGTGTCTAAATACCTTGTTATAGAAATTTTCATACCCAGGCTGGGATACATCAGTTTTTTAAACTTTGGTGCCAAGGACCCCACTAACTATAGAGAAAATATAAGGCAAATTTTAATACTTGCACTTCCTGAATTCCACTTTCGCTTTCTAAACAGGACCTGACCTAACCTGACAGTGGCTTCAAGTTACAGAAACTAAATTTGAAAGAATAGACATGGATGTATTATCTAAACAGCATGCTATTAAAAAAGTAAGACTTCACTAGCACTTTAAGTAAAGTGCTTTATTCCTTTATTTTGCAGTTTTCAAATTCCTAGGTTTACATTTTGGAATTTATGTGTTTTAGCAATATCTGGTGTTTTCATTGGCTTCTGTGTTTTAAATATTTTACTCCTGTGCCTTGTGGGAGTAACTGTTTAATTTGTCTGTACAGTCCTTTTTAATAAATGTTTGTTTCATGTCATGCTTTCTTCCTGCACATCTGTTATTTGCTTATGCTACCAAGAAGCAGCCATATCCCAAATGGTAAGACTCAGCTGTCTTAATTTTACAGGATGCAATTAGCCACAATTCTGTTATACCTTTACAGAAACTTTGTGGACATAAATATGCAGAAAGAAAGATCCCTTCTAATCAGCTTTAGAAAACAGAAAGGAAAAGGAAATAGTACAACAGGTTTTAACATAGCCAAACTTCTCAGTTTTGCCTTCTAAAGTTAAATTGAAAGTAACAATAAATATGATTCCCTCTCCAACTTAAAGCAGAGGATAGCTGTCTTCTCAAGAGTCCTGCTTTGTCATTAGGAGATTATATCTACCAGTGCTTGCTAGAAGTTGCTTCTCTCATCAGACTGGTGAGCACTCCTTAATCCAGCTCTCTCAGGAATGCCCACACAGGCTGTACACTGCTAGCAAAGGAGGTAACCTACTGCATGGGAATGAAAACACTTTTGAGAAAAAATGTAATCCATTGGCAATAGCTGGATTCAGAGAAGAATGTCTATCCCAGACCTCACAGAGCTCAGAACCTGAGATTGGCTAAATAAAGGAAGCATGATTTTTTTTTCCATAGGTAATGTCTTCAAATACAGATAAACCACAAAATCTAACAACTACTCTAATCTTTCCTTGTACCATAGTTATTCCAAGACAAAACAAATAATTTTGACTTCTGTTCATTTTGTTTAGCAATCTGAATTGTTCAGATTTTGAAACATCCCTCAGTAATTTCTGTTCATCCAGATGCTTTTTTCAGTTCCTTAATCCTAATCCCATCTGTAACATTACTTAGAACAGTAGTCACAAAGCTAATACACATTCATAGCTTCCTAAGAACTAACTCTGAAATATTCCCTATAACTGACATCAGCTTCAGTCATATTTGCCCAAGCTTAGCACGATCCTGCCATAAAATGAGCTGCAAAACCCTGGATCTTCCGCAATCTAATATTAAAGTGTAGCATTAAAAATCGTCTAATAATTTAAGGAAAAAAAACCAAAAAACAAAACAACAGAGCCCCAAAGCTTGTCCCACCCTTAAAATCACTACTTAAAAATTTCTATTGTGCTTTTCAGCCTTCACTGACCTTACTTCTAACTTCCCTCTCTTCCCAGAAACAGTAAAAAACCCAGAAGATCAGTGATATCTACTTATTTGTGACCCAGTAAAGATCTTCAGTGTTTTGCAGTACTTGACAAGGGTGGGTTTTACCACAGGAAAGATTAAGGAGGTTTTAAGAAACGTTAGAGAGTGTTGTCTAATGTTTCCATCAGGGCATCCAAGCTGTCTGCTGTCAGCTCAGAAAGGAAGGCAAGCTGCACGGTTATTATTGGCAAAGGGATGAAATAACGTTTATTGTTGCTTTGGCACTTTATCGTTCTTAAAAATGAAGGAAATACTTCTGAAAGGCGACGTGGGTCTTGCAGGACGTTTATTTTTGCCAATCTGCGCTCCGGGAGTCCTTGAGGTCCTTGGAGGTGGGGGGGGGGCGCGGCTGCAGTGCCGCTCCCGGCCGTGTCCGCCAGGCGGCGACTGCGAGGCGGGGCCCGGCGCTCGGGGCGGGCTGGGAAGCGGCGCCTGCGCAGAGCGAGGCGTTGGCCGGGCCGGGCCGGAAGCGCTCGGGGCCGCCGGGCAGGGCAGTGCCCGGCTGGTGGGTGCCCCGCAGAGAGAAGAGCCCGGCCCTGGGAAGGCAGGAGCCTGGGCTCGAGCTGCTCTGGACCGCTGTGGGGATGGGTTTGAAGTTTTGGGATCGCTTGTTTCTGTCCCTACCTTCCCACTGAAAACAATAACTTAAGAAGTCCTCGTCTGGACTGGTCCAGAGAAATTGTGGAGTCTCCATCCCCGGAGATGCTTAAAACACTTTTGCTCAGGCAAAGTCGTGAGCAACCTATTCTGCCTAATCCCACTTTTTGAGCAGCAGAGATTGGACTAGATGATCTCCAGAGGTATTGTCCAACCCCCACCATTCTGTCCTTCTGTAAAGGGGCTTTGCGCTGCCCTTTTGAACTGTAATCTGTGGATGACCTGTGTTGAGGTCACACTGCAGCTTGTTACACTGCAGCTTGTCACACTGAATGGCAGCCTGAATAATTTAATATTGAACTGTGATTAATCACAAGATGAAAGCTAAGATAGGCTGGTAAGAGGCAGTGTTCTTTGCTGCAGCATTTCCCACCTGAGGTAATTTTCCTTGTTCTGAAAGTGTCAAGTACAGTTGGGCAATGTACTACATAGGAAGAAGGGAAAGAATCTCAAAAACAAATAAATGAACAAAAAACCCCTTTATATTTGCTTGTGCAAGAAGAAGATTGTTCTTCCACTCAACCAGGTTTTGAGAGGACAAATTAATTGTTTTTCTGACAACACTATACATTGGAGGCTGTTAATGATCCCATAGTCTGTGCTAAAGGTTTTAGCTGATTGTGTTTGTCATCAGCTTTTACTAAAGAAAAAGCAAGCCTTCTTGGCTGTGTGGATATCACAGGGACGAAATGATTCCATTCATGTAGATAATGATAACAGAGCCCAAACAAAAATATTGTAAGTGTCCTATGTGGAACAATATACAGAATTTCAAAAGG